GAGTTTATAAAAACGTAAATGTATATAAGATATGTGTATGTATGTATGCGGAAAGAAAAAGAGAATGAGAGATTTCAGCTGAAATCCAAAGTTGAAGATAATGATCAATAACTAAGGAGTTATGGAACATTCATCTATCTTCAGCCTACATAAAAATATGGCTAAAAATTCTTACAGCAAAGAAAAAATTATACTAAATTATACTAAAAGAATTTAAGGAGTACAGAGTACTACCCTAGAGCCCCATGAGACTTGTTTATTTATTCACTCTACAAATATTTATTTACCAGGTACTGTTTGGCGTGAAGTCCTGTTACAGGTGTGGGGCCAATGACATTGAGGAGAATTGACAAGAGTGAGAGTGAGCATGGCCGCCTTTATGTAATTTGACAGAACAAAGATATAGGAGTGTTCTCATGATCCATGTGGATGTTACAGAAATAGCCAGGCACACATCTTCCTGAAAGAAAGTCCAGTGTGGGGGTTATGCTTCTGGGGAAAGAGCAAGGGGAAGAATCAAGATGTCAGCCAATGTCTGCATTGTTCAAGTCAGAGAACAGTGCAGTGCCAAGGATGAGGGTTTGAGAGTTGCAAGGGCGGTGGGCCTGTAGCCAAATCGCAGCCAAACTCCGTGTAAGAAAGAGCCAACCCCTACATGACAATCATATCAAAAGGCTTTCAACAGAAAAGATAATGTCAGGTGTTGTGAAATCAGTAAAAGTTGTATTGCTACTCTGCCTTGCTCTCACCCCCATCTTCTATGCCCATCTTTGAAGCAGCCGAACAAAAGAACTGATCATACGCGTTTTCTCCACCTCAGACCCAAGCTTGGCGTGTGGAGCAGAGGGGGAAAAGTCATTACCAATCCTTAGGTGGCGCCTACCTTCTACCAGCTACTGTTTTAGAAGTGCTTTGCATGCATTAATAGTGTAATTCTCATAAAAGTTCCATGAGATAGATACTATTATTTTTCTCATTTTACACTACATATAAAGAAATTGAACATTTCTACTCAACATAGTACTGGACGTCCTCACTACTGCAATTAAGCAAGAAAGGAATCTAAATTGGGAAGAAAGAAGTAAAATAATCTCTGTTTGCAAATAACATAAAACTATATGTAGAAAACCCTAAAGGCACCACCAAAAAAAGTTAGGAAAGTTGCAGGACACAAAATCATCATGTTGAAATGTAACATCAGTTGAATTTCTACAAACTAACAGTGACCCATCTGAGAAGAAAATTGAGGAAACAATTCCATTTACAATAGCATCAAAAAGAATAAAATACTTAGGAATAAGCTTAACTAAAAAAGTAAAATACTCGTACACTGAAAGTTACAAAACATTGATGAAAGAAGTTAAAGGAGAAGCTGGATACAATGGCTCACACCTGTAATCCCATGGCTTTGGGAGGCTAAGGCAGAAGGATCACTAGAGGCCAGGAATTCAAGATTAGCCTGATCCACATAGGGATACTCCATCTCTTAAAAAAAATAGTAATAATTAACTGGGCATGGTGAAGTGCATCTGTAATCTTCAGTAGGCTAAAGCAGGAGGATCACTTGAGTCCAGAAGTTCTAGGATGTTGAACTATGATTGTGTCACTCTAGCCTAGATGACAGGAGAGACAATGTCTCTTTTTAAAAAAAAAAAGTTTTTTAGAAATTTAAAGGAGACAAAAATCAATAAAAAGGCAACCCATGTTCCACATTGGAAGACAATATTTTAAAAATGTTATTACCCAAAGTGATCTACAGATCCAATGCTATACCCACAAAAATCCCAATGGCATTTTTACAGAAATAGAAAAAGCTATTCTCATTAAAATCCCAATGGCAATTTTTACAGAAATAGAAAAAAATGCTAAAGTTTATGTAGAACCAGAACTGACATAGAATAGCCAAAGTGATTTTAAGAAAGAACAAAGGTGTAGCCTTCACACTTCCTAGTTTCAAATATATTACCAAGCAACAATAAATAAAAAACTATGGTACTGGCATAAAGGAAGACCACAGAAACAGAATAAAAGTCCACAAATAAACGTACACATATTTGGTCAACTGATCTTTGCCAAGGGATCCAAGAACACACAATATGGAAAGGAGAGTCTCTTTAACAAATAGAGAAAGGAAAACTGGAAATCCACGTTAAGAAAAATGAAATTGAACCCCTTTATTACCCCCACACACAAAAATCAACTCAAAACGGAATAAAGATTTACTACTATAGCTGAAACTCTAACAACTTTTAAAAGAAAACATAGAAGAAAATTTTGTTGCTGTCGGAGTCACACTGTCACCCAAGATAGAGTGCAGTTGCATACTCATGGCTACTGCAGCCTCAACCTGCTGGACTCAGGTAACCTTCCACCTCAGTCTTCGAGTAGCTGGTACTACAGGTGTGCACCACTATGCCTGGTTAATATTTTTTAAATTTTATTGTAGAGACAAGGTTTCACCTAATTGCCCAGGCTGATCTCTAACTCCTGGGCTCAGGCAATCCTCTCACTTATACCTCCCAAAGTGCTGGTATTACAGGCATGAGGTGCCACGTCTAGCCAGACAAGTTTCTTGACACTAATCTTGACAATTACATTTTGGATATGACACAAAATGGACAGGCAACAAAAGCAAAAATGGACAAGTAAGACTCCATCAAGCAAACAGCTTCAGCTCTGTAAAGGAAACAACAGCATGAAGAGATAATGTATGGAATGGTAGAAAATATGAGCAAATCATATGTCTGAGAAGAAGTTAATGTCCAAAATATATTAGAAACTTCTATAAATCAGAAAAAACTAAAAAAATAGCCCAATTATCATTTAGGCAAAGGACTTGAACTAACATTTCTCCAAAGAAGACAAATTTTCAGCATATCCAAGTACATGAAAAGATGCTCAAAGTTAATTAACTATCAGGGAAATGCAGATAAAAAACAACGAGGCAGCATCACACACCCAGTAGGATGGCCATTATTCAAACATAAATAAATTTTTAAAAAGTGTTGTGAGGTTGTAGAGAAACTGGAGCCCTTTTCCCTGTTGGTGGGAATGTAAAATGGTATAGCAGCTATGGAAAACAGTAGAAAGGCTTCTCAAAAAATTAAAAATAGAACTACTATATGATCCCGCAGAGGTACATATATGAGATCCAACAGTTAGGATCACGAACCATCCTGGAAAAAGTGCTACATAACACATTCCTGAATTTCACTACAGTCAGCTTTGAAGTACTCCCCTTGGGAAGCTATCCACTGACACCAGCGCCTAGTCTACTCATCAAAGCAACTTTTTTTGGAATGGCCATCAAAGCCATTCCAAAAAAATTAGGGCCTGGCAATTAAGTTCGTGAACTTGCCGCTGTCCACTTACATGGGCAGCACTGCACAAATAACTAATTGGAACCCTCCCTGCTCACCTGATATGGCTCCCATGATTTTTTTCTTTACCTGAACATAAAGGAAATATTGAAAGGAAGACATTTGATGACATTCAGGACTTCAAGGGTAATATGAAGAACAAAATCATGCCCTTTGCAGCAACACGGATGCATCTGGAGGCTGTCATTCAAAGTGAACTATCACAGAAACAAAAAGCTGAATACCACATATTCTCACTCATAACTGAGCACTAAACATTAGGCACACAAGCACAAAGTCAGGAACAACTGCTCATGGGGAAAGGGAAGGAGGACGGATAAGGGGCACACAACCACCCACACCCACAGAGTACCAAGTACCAAGTACCACAAGGTACCAGGAAGAGAAGAGACTCGCTAGAAACCCAACTCTCACTTGCACACAACTTGCTTATGTAGAAAATCCTCACATGAACCCCACAACTCTAAAATAAAAAATAAAATAGTTTGTGTATTTACAGTGGAATATTATTCATCCTTAAAAAGGAAATCCTGCCATGTGATAATGCCATAAGCATGAAGGACTTTATGCTAAGTGAAATAGGTTGTCACAGAAGGACAAATGCTGCATGATCCCTCTTATGAAGAAACTAAACTAGTAGAACTCAGAAGCAGAGAATACAGTAGTAGCTGTCAGAGACTGAGAGTAGGAGAAGTGGGGAATTGTTATTCAAAGAGTATAAAGTTTCAATTATGCTTGAAAAATAAGTTCTAGAGATGTGCTGTAGAGCATAGTGTCTATGGTTAACAATACTGTATTGCACACTTCAAAATTTGTTAAGAGGTTAGAGTTTATGTTAAATGTTCTTACCACAAAAGAAAAGAGCAGATTTAAAACAAAAAAAAAAAAAAAAAAAACCTTTATAGACAGCTTTTCCCCTCACATGCATCTCTATTATAGACAATCAGCAAAATAAAGAACTATTGTTCGATAATCCTCCTTTCCTCATGTGGATGAAATAATTACTCATATTTTAAAATGTAGTATTTTTTTTCTTTGTCACATACACTGGGGTGCCCAAAAATGTATAGACATTTTAAGAGATATTTTCTATGTATTCCTTTTCAAATTTGAATTAAATTAAGGTAGCAATGTGTAATTGCAGAAGTCAAACGTGACATATTCATCTTTTGTTATTGGTATACATTGAGTATTACAATTTTAGCACAGTTTTTTTCCTTTCTTAAAATGTGTATACATTTTCTGGCAACCTCTGTATTATGCTATTGAATCTACCAAAATCCCATAGAGTAGGTTTCATTTTAGCACAGTTTTTTAGATGGAGAAGCTGAGACCCAGAAACGTTAATTAACATGCCCAAAGTTACACCTCTAGAATGTAAACATTAGTTTCTCACTTGCTGACTGATTAGAAAGATTGTTTTCTTGACCCTTCTACTAACCACAGTAGCTGGTATAGAGTAGGTGCTCAAGCAATGCTAGACCTTGTCCTTTTTTAACTTCATGAAAGGCAAGTGAGCAGATAGTCAGCACAAATTTGACTTTGAAGCAAAAACATTTTTAAAATCAAGACCAATATCTAGAATATATTTAAGATGCTGATAGAGAAAGCATTGCTTACCTTTGAAGCAGAATATTCATATTCTCCCCACAATATTATTCCTGCTGCCCCCAGAGAGGCACTTTCACCAATTGTATGCACCAAGTCTTCCTAGAAAACACAAGTGTCAGGAGTAGTTTCTGCCAAATCGAATTTAATCTTTGACAATTCCAATAATTAGTATTAAGACACAACCCATCATCTGCGGTAAATAATGCATGAATGATATTATCTTTGTTTCTAAAACAAAGGACTATCTAGCAAGACAAATACTGAATGATTTCATTCATATATAGAATTTTTAAAAGTTAATCTTGTAGCATTCGAGTAGAATGGTGGCTATCAGAGGCTATTATGGATAGGAGAGAGAGCGGACTGGGGAGATGTTGGTTGAAGGATACATAACTACAGTTAGACAGGAGGAATAATAAGCTCAAGCTATCTCCTGTATAGCATGGTGACTATAGTTAATGAGAACAAATATTGTGTTTTCACCACAAAAATAACTACATAAGATCATGCATTTATTAATTAACTAGATTTATTAATAACACAATGTATATACATTTCAAAACATTATGTTGTACATGATAAGTGCACACTATAATTGTATGTCAATTTAAATAAACAAATAATTTTTAAAATGCCTAGAAAAAAATGATTTTTAAAATTAAAGCTGTCATACTAAAAAGAAAACAAAGGATTATAGCACAATTGGAAAAGGTGATTCTGTCTTGGATTCTTACATTTATTTGATAAGTGTTCATAATGATCCAGGCAAATGTTTTAGACACAGAATATAAAAATGAAATGGAGCCCAGTTCCTGTTTTTGAGGAGGTACTTTAGTCTTGTGGTTGAGACAGACATATAAACAAATATAATAGATTGATTTTTATATTAGTAGCAACACCAGCACATATAAGTTGGAAGTGCTTGATACAGCATGGAGGAGTCTGAGAAGGCTTCCTTGAACAGGTTAAAATTCAGATTGGTCTTTGAAAATGAGTATGAATTCACACAACAGACTAGAGAGAACAGAATTTCAAATCCAGAAGGCAGAATAAGGACAGAGGTTTAGATGTGAGCAAGGGTGTAGTCCATGCAGAGAACTACCAGTAACTCCTTGTGGGAAAGCACACAGGATCATGAATTCTTGTATACAAGCACAATCTAAACACACAAAAAAATGCTATTTTAAAGTGTTAGGACAACTACAAAAATATCTTAGTACCAGCAAAACACACATTTGCAACTTTAAAAGCTATTTTTTGTCGTGATGAAGCCATCTGCATTCTTTTCTCTCTTACAAGGTATAGAGTCAAGATCCAGTACAGAGGTAAATTGCTCAAAGACTGGACTGACTAAATGGCATGCCTCTGCAAGCTTTTCTGCATTGCAAAAGGTCCCAGTAACAGTCGTTGTGCTCTGCAATGCATCTAGGTATTACTACAAAAAAAAGAAATCATTCTTCCACAACAATAACCAGTATCACATTCCTTAATCATAAAGCTAGTCTATTACTGAAATTAAGACACTTCTGAAAGAAAATACCTCGCAGAGTTGGTTTAAAAAAAATTGGAGTTGAGAAGATGGAGGCTGAGCCAGTTGAACTATGCGAGTCTCGGTGTGGGTGAGTGAGTATCTGGAAAATTTTGCGTATGTGCTGGTGAACGAGTCGGCATGTGAGTAGCTGACTGAGTGAGGGCTGGGAGCTAATGGCCAGGGCTCTCTTGGTGCAGCACCTGGTGCCACAGCTGCTGGACTTGGACCCTAGCAATTCCTGGGATGCAGAAGCTGAGTACCATTTTCTTTTCTTTTCTTTTTTTTAAATCAACAAAACACTTCCTGGGAAGAAAATACTGGGAAAGACTGTCTAGGTGGGGGCTCGAGAGCAAGTGGCCAGGCCCCTGATTTAATAGCTGGTGCTGCAGTTTTTCGGTTTGGTCCCTGCTCTTCCCAGGTCACAGAAGCTGAGCACCAATTTTTTTTTTAACAGACAAAAGTATTCCTGTGAACAGCAGCAGGGAGAGACTATTACCCCAGGCTCTCCCTCACCATTGGCAGTAGAGACTGCTGCCTCCAGGCTTTGCCTCACCACTTCAGTGCCTGGCAAGACACTGGCAGCAGGGGCTGCAGAGGGAGTCCAGAGACAAAGTCCCATGGAAGAGGACAAGAGAGGTACCCCATCACCATCTTGAAGGCGGAGCAGGAAAACACTCCAACTTGCTTACCACAGAGCAACAGACCCCATCTCTGTGACTGGTGGATCAACAACTCAGGGATTGATCATGACACAGAGGGAATAATATCCTGGAAGCATAAACTTTGGAGGAACCTGATGCATGTAGCGTTCCAGGCGCCCCACTCCCTACCTTGATCCAGCCAGGACAAAGGGTGTGACCAGAAAAGGATGAGGAAAGACTCTAAAGAAATTAGTGGTGAGTCTGGGACTGACCCAAAACCCCTCCTCCCCAGCAATCCTCTGAATGTCAAACCCACATAGCTAGGCCACAACTGAGAAGAACAAAACCAGAAGGAGCCTGGACGTCAGTCGCAATAGAACTCCATTCCAGGATAGGCCTGACTGGGGCACTCCCAACAAGAGTACATACCTGGAGAAGAGATAATCCTGAGCCCCCCCCCCACCGGAGGAGACCCCCCCACACCACCAATGAGAGTGGGAGGGGAGGCCTGCAGCCCCACCCACCTCCACTGCCCCTCCTCCTTCCCCGCTCTCTCCAGACACTGAGGAGAGAGTGAAAGAGGTGACTCTGCAGGAGAGAACTGATTAGAGAAATAGTTACAGAGCCTGCCACAAGAGGGCATGGATTTTTCCTTCTTTCTTTTTTAATTTTTAATTTTTAAAAATTCTTTGACTGTTTGTTAGTTATTCTATTTTTAAAATATTTTTCCTTTGTGCATGAATGTGTATGAATGTGAGGGTCTGATCTGCATCCCTCCCAAATTTTTTTTTCTTTTTCTGTTTCTTTCTTCTTTAATTTGTTGTTTTCTGTTTATGAGTGTATGTGAATGATTGAGTGTTCATCTTTCAATTTTGTTGTTGTTGTTGGTTTGTTCTTGCTCTTTTGTTCTTCTGGGTTTTTTATCTTCTATAGTTTAAGGTGTGTGTCAATATAGGTGTGAGGGTTTGATTTGAATTCCTTTATTTATTTATTTATTTATTTATTTATTTATTTATTTACTTATTTATTTATTTATTTTTCCGGTCTTTCTGTTTTTCTTCTCTATTCACTTTGTGCTAGGCATGTGTGTGTGTGTTTAGTTTTCTAGGCTTTTGTTGTTGTTGTTGTTTGTTTTGTTACACTTTGTTGTTATTCCAGTTTGTTTGGGGGTTTGTTTGTATGTCTGTGTGTGTGTTTAATAGTTTTTTACATTGGTTTCTGCTTTGCATCATCATATAGAGTGGTGGTAGGGAGTGGATCTCAGGGAACACATACCACAATAAATGAACATTGTAATTTGTAAGGAGTTTCTGAATCCTAACACCCTATCCCCTACTTTATTTGAATTTCAAAAACTACAAGAAACAACAAAGCTTCCCATCCACCATCCTATTTCAAAATAGAAGATATCCAGAGCCCAGATCTGGGAAGATTAGAGGGCTAAGCAAACATCAGAAGGGAAAGCCTCTCCCACTGACACTGAATAACAGAACTAAAGAGAAAACAAGAGATCTGTCACAAATGAGGAGAACCAAAAGGAAGACCACAGGCAATTTCAAGTGTACCAAAGACAGAACTCCTGAAAAATCAGACCTTGGTGCTAAAACAATGGAAGTCACCAACGACTGGGCCCTGAACACTACAGGGATTAGGGAATGGATGGAAAGAGAGATAAGACTCAAGAATGACAAGATGCAACACTGAAAGAACTTGTAATAGAGATTTTGGCAATAAAAAATTTCATCCAGGAAATAAATGACAAGATGGCAAGCATGGAAGAAGAATTAATCTAACTAAAGAAAGAATCTCAAACTTGAAAACCAGAACATGGAATTAACCTGGTCTGTAAAAAATTTAGAAAGAAAACTCAGAAAGAACAAAACCTACAAGAGATGTGCAATTATAACAAGAGGCCGAACCTATACCTGATTGATATTCGAGAATAAGAAAGAGAAATGGAGAATACCCTGAAGCAAGTATCCCAGGAGGTAATCCAAGAAAACTTTTCCCATCTCACCAGAGATGTGACTAGCCAAGCATAAGAGATACAGAACCCACACAAGACATCAAATGAGAAGACCAACCCTTAATCACATAGTAATTCACCTACACAAAGTAAACACAAAAGAAAAAATCCTAAAGGCAGCAAGAGAGAAAGGTCAGACTGCCCACCAGGGGAAACCAATCAGAATATCAGCAGACCTAAAGGCAAAAAAACTACAAGCAAGAAGGGACTGGAGCCCTATATTCAAAGTCCTCAAAGATAGACAGTTTCTACCAAGAATTTCCTATCCAGCCAAGCTCAGTTTCATCAGTGATGGAGAATTAAAATCCTTCCCAGACATCCAATCCCTAAGAGATTATGCAGCTTCCAGACCAGCTTTACAGGAGACACTTAAAAAGCACAGAAGAAAGAGAAAAAAAAGAATGACCATACACTTCTCAAGAGAACAGCAGAGCACAGAATCAACAGAGAATACAGTGCAACAAGAAACTTGAAAACACACACATACATCAACCCCAAAGCCAAAAGAAAAAACTTTATAATAACCTCATAACAGCAAAAAAAAATTCACATTTTAATAATCAGCCTGAATATGAAGGGACTAATGCACCACTGAAAAGACACAGAATGACAAACTGGATAAGAAACCATGACCCAATTATCTGCTGCATCCAGGAGACTCATCTAACTACAAGGGACACACACAGACTCAAAGTGGAAGGATGAAAAATGATTTTCCAGGCAAATGGATCACAAAAGAAGATAGGAGTGCAATCTTCATATCAGACAAAACAATGTATAAGCTATCAAAAATTTTTAAAAGACTCAAAAGGTCACTATATAATGATAAAAGTTTCAATACATCAATAAGAAATATCCATCGTAAACATGTATGCACCCAACAGAGGAGCACCAGTATTTG